CTTTGGGTTTTTCGATCATCTGGAAGATCCGTTCGCTAGAAACTTAAGCGCGCTCGCCGCGGATGCGCCGGGCCAGCTGGATGTCCTTGGGCATGATGGTGACGCGCTTGGCGTGGATGGCGCAGAGGTTGGTGTCCTCGAAGAGCCCCACCAGGTAGGCCTCGCTCGCCTCCTGCAGCGCCATCACGGCCGAGCTCTGGAAGCGCAGGTCGGTCTTGAAGTCCTGCGCGATCTCCCGCACCAGGCGCTGGAAGGGCAGCTTGGGGATCCGGGCCGCCTTGGTGGCCAGCTGCTTGCGGGGCGCCTTCCCGCCCGTCGACTTACGCGCCGTCTGCTTCGTACGCGCCATCACTCCAAAGAATAGAGGTAAAGTGGTGTGCCAGGCAAAAGCACTGATACCGGGGCTGTGTTCGAGGAGTATATATAGCAGCAGTCCCTTCTCTGATAGGCGGATGGCTATATGCTGAGCCTCATTGGTGGATTCAAATTTAAAAATCCCGCCACGGGTAGGTACCGCCTACGCTTTTTCGTCTTTGTTCCTTTATAGTGCTTCTCACCTAAAGAAGCTGTACTGTTTAGAACTACATTTTTTCCATTTCCGGAAACCCTTCGTATATTATTGATTGTAAATATTTCTTAGACAATATGAGAGTTAACAATAAGTACTTCACTTTAAAAAAGATGGTTTTTTTTTTTTGTTCACTGTGAAATTTCCTTCCCTTTTTTTTTCTTTGCATGGGTATCTCTATGCAGTGTTAACAAGGATAAAATTACTCTGGAAAATATAGGAACTTTTATTTTAAAACGTTGAAATATTTCAGAAACATTCAGAATATCAAGAGTGAACAGAAGGAAAAAAGGTAGTAGTTGGAAAAAAAAATTGCTGGGAAGAATAATGAAAAACAGGATATTGGAAAATGTAAGATTAATCAAAGAACGGAAAGATTCACGCCTTTTAGTCCCTATTAATGCTGTATGAACGCATCAACTGTAATTAAGGAATAAGGACTGGAGGATGAGTACAGGAACGAAAGGCTGAAGTGTTAGATGGAATCAGGCAATGAGAGCAGATGCCGTGTTTAACTACATTGTCCCGCTGTGAATTTGGGGTGGGGAGACAGAAGGAAACGAACTGTGGTGTTTTTCTGATACAAGGAAGTGTGTGCAGTGTTGGTAGGTCGGTAAGCTTTGGGATGGACCGATATTAGAAAGGGGCGAGATCTTCCAGCGGGCAAAAGACCCCGCGTGACACATTGCCGTGTTTAACTACATTGTCCCGCTGTGAATTTGGGGTGGGGAGACAGAAGGAAACGAACTGTGGTGTTTTTCTGATACAAGGAAGTGTGTGCAGTGTTGGTAGGTCGGTAAGCTTTGGGATGGACCGATATTAGAAAGGGGCGAGATCTTCCAGCGGGCAAAAGACCCCGCGTGACACATCACGGGGAGCTGTACCGCCTTTCCCCTCTCCCGGTAACTGCCCCCCACCCCTCGGGCGGAGTCCCCCGCTGAAGCCCGCCCTCCGCGGCTCGTCATTGGGCGCGTGGAGAGGGCGGTCGGAGGCGATTCCGCCGCAGAGCTCGTCGCTATTGGTCAGGACGAGATTCGCTGCGCCATTAGGCGCGCGTTGCCCGATAACAGCCCCAG